TGGATGGGGAAGGGAGCTGCAGGGAGCAGCCCAGCAAAGGCTGGACTTGCACCTGCTGTCACTGCAGCCCTGAGTCCTACAGATGGCCACCAGCACCGCAGTTGCACTGGGGAACTTCCCCCTGTCCCCTACTGCCAGACAACCCTGTACTAACACATGGTTCTTGTTCTGCACAGGGGAAGGGGCTGCAGTCTTACTTCGCTCTTTGGAGCCTCTTGAGGGTCTAGATGTGATGCGAGAGCTGCGCAGTGCTTCAAGGAAAGGACCCACAAAGCCACTGAAGGACTGGCAGCTGTGTAACGGGCCCTCCAAGCTCTGCCAAGCGTTTGGTATTGATAAGGATTTTGACCAAAGGGATCTGACTCAAGATGCAGCCATTTGGATGGTGCCTGGGCCAGAACTGCCAGGAGAGCAGGACGTGGTAGCCACAGCCAGGATTGGTGTTGGCAACAGGGGAGAGTGGGCACAGAAACCTCTGAGGTTTTATTTAAGAGGGAACAAATTTGTGAGTGTGGTCGACAAGAAGCTGGAGAGAGAGATGGCAGCACTGGGCTCCTCCTCTTGCAGCTGACTAGTCTTGCAGGGATGCCTAGGAGCAGGACTTGGGCTGCGCTCCATATGACAGCCTCAAGCTACATCCTGGCAGCAGTGAGCACAGGGTGACGGCTTGGAAGCTTTTAACAATAAATGTACTTTATCACAATGAACGAAGCAAGGTGAGGTTTTTTTTCAATCTGTGGGGCACACTGGTGTGGGTCTTCCAATCAGAAATGGGGTTGGTTTGGGGCCCTAAAAGGCTGGTCTCTTCCTTGTGAATGGATCCAGGCTCTCTTGAGGTGGACAAGTGGCGAAGTGAGGGGAGCTTTGGGTGATGGGGTCATGTACCATCAGTGTTTGGAGACACAACTATATACTCGGCAGGAACAAGATGGAGGCCTCTGCCAACGCCCCTGCACTGAGTGAGGCTGTTTTTTTCCAAAGCTGCCCACTGCTCCAGGGCCCCCACTACTAGCAAGGCAGGGACTTTGCACTTTCAACTGCAGGTTGAGCTTGGCCCGCAGCAAAGGGGCCCGTCTTGCTTCTTCCCGTAGGAGTAACGCTGAGCTGCAGGGACTTGCTGTGTTGTCCCAAAGGCAACCAGCTCAACTCTCCCTTAGAGCCGGACACACAGCTCTGTACTTGAGCTCTGCACTTTCCGTCCTGAATGGAGGCTCTTGAGTGGCAAAGGCAGAAGCAGCCAGTTCTGCCAAACGCTCAGTGTGGACCCGACCTTGTTGCACTACGGTAATCTGGCATAAGTTGGGGGCTGCCCTTGCTGTTGCCTCTTGTTCTAGCCGTGACACAGCAGCACAAGCATTCCTGAACCAGATCAGGAAACCCATCCATTTTAAGACTTGTATCTTGTTTTTGGCTCGACAGTTTTATCTCAGGCCAGTTCCCTAATCTGGTTCACTGCAGCCATAGCAGTGGTTGCAGGGAGGGGAATGGAGGAAAAAAAATCAGCCCTGGAGGGCAAATGTGACTGCGCTTATCTCCAGCCCATGGCAAATTAAAAGGTGTTTGTGGAACTACTGTATCAAGGCACCCACAGCAAAGCCAGCCAATTTCCGTCCTCAGCAACTAAGCTCCCTCTGCCACACTCAGAAACAGCCCTGCAAGCCAGGAGCACATAGGATGCTTGGTGACAACAGTGCCCCTACAGACACTTGGCGATAACCTACTGGGGGCAGGGAGTGAAAAGTAAATAGAAAGTAACACAGTGAACCAGTTATTCTGATTCATGAACCTGTTTACATGTGGTACCTTGCATTCCTACCTATGGCCTTACTGGTGCCAAATAACGATGAGTAAACCGAATTCCTCGGTGCCCAGGGACACTTTGCTAAAGGCCAGGCCAACTTCACTCTGCCACGAGCAGCGGCTCTTCTGTAGGGACCTGGGCTCAGGCTGCTCATGAACTGTGCTCACAGCTGCATGATCCAGCAGTCATGTTGGTGGAGAGCAGAGAAAGCGCTTCTGGTGCACCAGCAGCCATCCAAAGGTATGTTGTTAGTAACGCTGCAGTAGAAACCTTCTTAGACTGCTCTCACAAGCCTTGCTGAGGGAGTAGGGTCAGGGAAGCAATGTAAAATGGCAGCTCCCGCACCATGAATCCAAGCTGAGCAAATGCACGCTGTCCTGCAGCAGGCCCCAGAGCACCTCACATAGCCCAGTCTCAGCTGTTCAGGAGCTCAGGTGGGAAATCTCACAGGAGCAGATGGGAAATCAAAGCACAGAGGGGGAGAATTTGCTGCAGGTCATGTGGCAAGAAAGAACTCATCATTCACCTCATTTATATTTTAGTCGTCTTTTAGAAAGACATGTAGCAGTTTCTCTTCCCCTGCCAATAATCATTTTAAGAGCGACTGAAAGACTGAAATCACAGGGTCCTCGTGGCTGGTCACGACCAGCACGCTGCGGAATTTGTCAAACAGCATCAGCAACTGCGAGCGACGCATGTTCTCATTGTACATGATCTCCTCCAAATGGTGTCGTCCTCGGAAATAGTGCAGCAGCCTGTGGGGAAGAAGAGCAAGTGAGGCACATGGACCAAAAGCAAGTGCACACAGCAGGAACTGAAGTCATGCCACCCTCAAGGTCTCCCCATGATGGGATGCAAATCGGAAGGGGGTTGGTTTGCATTGCCTTGTTTTATATGACAAGCAAAGTGAATGAAATCTATTCCTACCTTTAGGTATAGCTAACACAGACGTCCCCTGGAAAAGCAATGCAGGGAACATGACCCACCAAATTCTCATCTACTTAAGTACCCAATTTCCATCCCGCTTCCTTTACTTCCTCCATGTCCAGCCTCTCCTGATGGATGCCCCATATGCACACTGCCCTGATACCTTCATCTCAGAGCAATCAGCCTGTAACAGGGAAATGCAACTTGCAGGGCAAACAGGCAGAGTCATGATTAAACTCCACCACCCCTGGGTACTGAGAAGGTCCTCCTGGTATCAAAAGATTTCCAGCCACGGGCCATTTCCTGAGATTGTCAGTTTTGAATATTGCTTTAGCTCCAGAAAGCAAGGAACAGTTGGTGCTTCAACAAGCCTTGAGAAGTCAAGAAGTGACAGATTTACCTTTGCAGTTGCTTAGCTGGGTCTGCAGCGCAACATGTCACAGTTCTGTCAGTGTGCAACTACACTGTGTTTACAAATGTAAGAGCACATTTTCCCCCACAGCAGTCCAAGGGGTTTTATAACTACAAGCTTTACACTCTTGAGTTTATTCAGCCTGGAGTAGGTGGCACAGTCACAACAAGAAGATGGAAGTTGTGGCACAGAGAAGCTCTGAGTTGTAAAGTCACCAAAGAGCCCCAAAACCCTGAGGTCTCAGCTAACACCACAATGGCTGCTGTAATTCCCAATTCTCTTTAAAAAAAGACAGCAGTGACACGTTTGTGCTGGGCACCAACACTCTACCCAGACATTAAATAACCCCAGTGCTGCACAGTCAAGCCCACAAGGTCGAGGACAGACCTCTGCAGCCTTTCCACTGCAGCAGGTCACCAGTGACTGCAGACATATTCCCCAGAGCCCCTGCAACGCGAATCACCAAGCCAGCCCCCGAGACGAAGCTCTCGTTTGCTGCTCAGTCTCTTAATTGTCTGAACAACCTACCAAACACAGGAACCATATCGCACAAATCACTCAAAATACTCCTATTAGTCAAGGCCCAAACACATCACGTCAGACTGGAAAAGAATCGGGTAACAAGCCTCCCTCTTTCACATCCTCCCTGACGCTACGGAGAGAGCGTAGGCTTTACCTTATGAGTCATCTCCAGTCCACTATCATTTGTGTTTCTCTGCTCCCCAACTTGCCAGTTGTCTTCTTACATGCAGTACAAACAAACAGAAGGACACGCTCCAGCAATATTTACCCTTCCGCTCTCTGTGCTGTGCATTGACCTTCTGCAGTATCTCCCATTGGGCAATTAAATTAGGCTAATCAGTTCCCTTCCCTGGGTTGCTGATAACCAGCACACCAAGAAGAGGCCATTAGCAGGAAACGTGGGGGTTTGCATGTGTATGTGTCAAAAATGTTCCCAGAGCTATTAACAATAATTTTTGGCAACACTTGCTGGTCTTGGAATTTTATTCTTTTTACGCTCATGTTTTAGCTACCTGTGGAATTAGCTTGCCCAGACATCCTTTAGCTCTAAAAATAGCCTTCCTCATTATCACTTCTAAGAGACCACTCCCTCAAAAGGATCTGCTTTCTAGATTTCTCCCTTTCGTTTTGGCCCAGTTGTATTAGCTGCAATTTTCCAAGATGAATCAAATGCTGTCTAACCTCAGCTGGGCACTGTGTTATTATCCCTGCCTTGTCTAAAGCTCCTCCCCTAACTTGTATCAGTGCTCAAAAAGTGGTTTTTAAAAAGATTTTAAAAGCTACATATTCTCTCCCTTGTACAAAGCTGCTCACTGTGGTAGTCCATAGTCTCAGCCCCTGGCACAAGACTGCCTTCTGTGCAAACACTTATGAGCTGGCCTTCAATGGCAACACAGACAAAGCAGTTTTCCAATAAATAAATCCATTCTATACTCAGGAAGAGTCTGGATTCGTAACAGGTCAAGATGAAATACTTTCCATTCCAATAAAAACTAGAGAGGATATTAAAGAACATCACAAAAATGCTGGCTGGAAGAGACTGCTGAAGTCTGTGGTCCAACCTCCGGCTCCAACAGGTCTATTGCCAACACTGTAGCTTTTTCTAGCCAAGTTCTGAAACCCTCCAAGGATGGAAATCCCCCCGCATATCTGGGTAATTGGTCCAAGGCTGCATCACCCTCCTGGGAATGAAGTATTCCCTAATGCCCAACTAGAATCTACCAAGCTGCAACCTGGGGCTGTTGCCCTTTGTTTTGCTATCTCCCACTAGCAAGAAGAGTTTGGCTCCATTGTCTCTTATAACTGCCCTTCAAACTGTTGTAGGCAGGTATTAGTCCCCCTCAGCCTCCTCTCTGCCCATCTGAATAAGCCCAGCTCCCTCAGCCTCCCCACAGGTCTCGTGCCCCAGACCCCAGCCCACCTTGGCAGCTGACACCAGACCACCTCCAGTTTCTCCATGTCCTTCATGACCCGCGGGGAGGAGAAAGGGGGCAGCTCGACAGTTTTCCAGGTGCAGCAGCAGGCAGAGGGGGACAACAACTTCTATTTGCTGGCCACTCTCCCATGCTAAAGCAGCCCAATGCATGGTTTGCCTTTAATATTATGCACGAAAGGACAGTAAGTTCAGGTGTGTACACCAAGGAAGTTACCAGATAGGCTAGCTGAAGCCCACACTTGACTCACGGTCCTCATCTGCCCTGACTGACCCAAATCCAGCAATTCTGCGCTGGATTCCTATCTGCCACATGCACCAGGGTGCCCTCCACATGCATACACGGAGCCCAGGGACACACGTGTCCCAGGCAACCCAGGCCTGCAAAACATGGTATAATCTCCTTCCGAGGGGAAAAAATAGAGATGAATTAACAGAAAACTTATGCTGATAGGAAACTGAGGGCATTGCACAGGAATAAACCACAACCTGCATAGGCAGGGTGGAGAGAAGTGCCCAGTATGATGGCAGAGCACAGTACAATAAACACTGCACCACAGAAAGGATACACCATGAACCCTTGCTTACAGCTCCAGTATAGATAGGGCACTATCTTCACCTTGTTAGGCAGTGGACATTTATGGGACCCAAACAGCACATAAGGTGGCAGTTCCTGGGGCAGGATTTGTGACCATCTGTAGCTGCACAGATGTGTCTGTTGACAGTTGTGCTCTTCCAGATCCAGATGCAGCGATGGAAGATTATTACTTTCCATTGCTCATCACTGTTCTCCCCTCTGAAGTCACAAGAGTTGCTCCCCTACCAGCAGTGTGGTGGTGTGGCAGCTCCCTAAACTGCTTCAGAAAAAAAAAGGGTTATCTTAGATTGGTCATTTAAATAAAATTAGCTTATTTCTGGCCAAGGAGATAGCCCTTCCACCAGTGCTGCTTGAAGGAAGCAGAGCAGATCTGTCCACAGCCAAATGCAACCAAGGAAAATCCCTCAACAGAGCAAAGGACCTTCATCTCCCAACCTTTAAGAGCAGGAAAAAAATTCGTGAGAGTGACTCTACACCTATGGTTTGGAAGAGGAGCAATGAGTGAAGCCTCAGACTATCTTTAAAAGCACCATCTGCTGTGCAGTGAGGAACAATGCTCTGTGTGCAATACTGAAGATCTAGCTCAAAAAGATCTTGTCTCCTTCTCATGTTTACTTCTGGAGGGATATGCCATCCCTCCTCCAGCAACATCTAAGAAAAGAACTTGGATCTGAATTCTCATTCATTGTTATGAGGGTTAATGCAGCTAGTGATAGAGCCAAATTCCAATATTCTGTATTTCCCCTTAAAATTTCTGCCTTCCAAGTACTGACTGTGCATTGTAATGGAAGGCACAAGCTCTTTCTGCTATCTGTTTAATAACTAACAGAAGTTCAGAGGCATAACCATAGGAAAATTTATCAGCCTGAACTTTATTGCCCTTCTGAAGACAGACCATCCCTTTGTGAGCACACAAAACTATTCTTGGAAGGGCAGTTACAGTATTTTTAGTGCACTAACTATGCAAAAAGAAGAGCTGACACAGTCATGAGGAGGACTGGCTCATTTGCTGCACTAGCTTCTCCACAATTTTTTACACTTTCCTTAAGAGTGATAGGTTTACCCAGACCCTCATCTTCTGATGGTTTACAGTACAAGGAGGGAGAATACACCCACAGCCTCCAAGTTACAGTGTCTCATAAAGTCACAGGTAACCACGAGCACCTAGCATAGCATTTCTATTTTTACATTCCCGCATCCTACCAATAGGAGCAGTTTGTTTATTGTATCTTCTCTCTCTCTCACTGTTGATTTAGGAAAAAATTATACAGTTGTTCAACCTATGGTGGAACTGAAATTGAGACTTTGCAAAGCCCCAGATGGCTTTGCTAAAGAACCTGGCGCATGGGCAAACTGCAAAACAAACATCATTAAGACAGCTGTCTCATTCTGGCAGGTGATTTTCTGGAGAAACCAAAGTCAGTTTTGGCATCTACAATTCAAAAGTTTTCATATAGCTGTTCTGCCCAGATGAGAGGGGCGACAGCCTCTCTCATAGCACTACAGGCTAGATGAGCAGACAGTGAGGTGGCCTGAAAACTGGCTGAATGGCAGAGCTCAGAGGGTTGTGGTCAGTGGCGCAAAGTCTAGTTGGAGGCTGGTGACTAGCAGTGTACCCCAGGGGTCCAATCCTGCTCAGCTTATTTATCAATGACCTAGATGAAGGGACAGAGTGTGTCCTCACTGAGTTTGCCCATGATACAAAACTGGGAGGAGCAGATGATACACCAGGCCCCTGCCCTGCCATTCAGAGGGACCGGGACAGGCTGGAGAGAGGGGCGGAGAGGAACCTCATGAAATTCAACAGAGGCAAGTGCAGGGCCCTGCCTCTGGGGAGGAAGAACCCCAGGCATCAGGACAGCCTGGGGCCTGACCTACTGGAAAGCATCTCTGCAGAGAAGGACCTGGGAGTCCTGGTGGACAACAAGTTGACCATGAGCCAGCAGTGGGCCCTTGGGGCCAAGAAGGCCAATGGTGCATTCCTGGGGTGCATTAGGCAGAGCATTGCCAGCAGGTCCAGGGTGGTGATCCTCTCCCTCTACTCAGTCCTGGTGAGGCCACACCTGGAGTACTGTGTCCAGTTCTGGGCTCCCCAGTATAAGAGAGACCTGGGGCTCCTGGAGCGAGTGCAGCAAAGGGCCACTAAGATGATTAAGGGACTAGAGCATCTCTCCTATGAGGAAAGGCTGCGGGAGCTGGAACTCTTCAGCCTGGAGAAGAGAAGACTGAGGGGGGAATCTTAGCAATGCATATAAATATCTGAAGGGAGGGTGTAAAGAGGACGAGGCCAGACTCTTCTCCGTGGTGCCCAGTGACAGGACAAGAAGCAACAGGCACAAACTGCAACACAGGAAGTTCTCTCTGAACATAAGAAAAAGCTTTTTTCCTGTGAGGGTGACTGGGCACTGGAAGAGGTTGCCCATAGCGGTTGTGGAGTTTCCATGGAGATATTTCAAAAGCCATCTGGACAGGGTCCTGGGCAACCTGCTCTAGGTGATCCTACTCGAGATGGGGAGTTGGACTAGATGATCTTTAACAGTGCCTTCCGACCTCAACCATTCTGTGAGAGGGAGACAATGATGAAATTCTTTCCTTTGTCCAAGGACAACTACGAATCTGTATCACCACTAATCCGGTCCAAAGTCTCTCCCACAAATTCTATCCAAAGATATCACCACCTTTGTTTTGGTTTTTATCTTTCTTTCTTTCTCACAGGTTTTGTAACCACTTATCTGCTAATGAGAACTGAATATTTTCCAAGTTCTCAAATGGCGAAAGTGTTGTCACTCAGAGAATATCCTCTGAACAGTTTTGGTGCCGTTATGAACCTAGTTACAAAAGGTGGAGAAGGAGACGAGTACTTCAGAATAGACCAGTAACTACCCATGAGCTTGGGAGATCCGTATTGAAAAGGTCTCAGCACAGCACAGCTGCAAACTGCTGCAGATAAGAGAAGTATTGCCATACCAGCACAGTCTCTTGAGGCTACTTGACTATATCAATCCTAGGTTGAGAACCAGATTTTCAGGGGATTATGGACTGAAGCTAGGAAGTATGGGAAAAGCTGCAGCACTTTCCCCAGGTGGTTTTCTTCTTCACAAGCATAAAAACTGGTGAAAGTTGCATTCCAGTGATGCCACTGTATTTTGAAATGCTTCCAAAAATCAACTATTTCTCCCCCACACGTTTCTCCCAGATGGCTGCTTATGAAATGAAGTCATTCCGCTTTTTACAATGTGCAAAACCACATTCTGGGTAGCTTTGTTGTGTTGAAAGTTGTAACAATAATACTGGATGCTACTAATCACACATCCCAATGACTTTATAACCTGTAGAGCTAACTAACCTAACCAATTAAACAGCTCATCTCAGCAAAACAGGTCTTGACACCTTTGTAGGCTGCTCCATAGAAGCATTCAGGCTGGCTTTATGTTTGATGCTCTTTTTTTCTGTCTCATATTTGCATGGAGTTACACACCTTAAAATGATGAATAACTTGCCTGGAATGACAGCCTCAGCATGGCTGGGTCTTTGCTGTGGATGTCTGAAAAGTCTTTCAGGCTATGCAACTTTATGTCTACCATGTGTAGTCACAGGAAAACTGGCAGGCAAACAGTCATATCCCTACTGTCTAATCATGTATTCCGTTGCTCCTTCACACATCCAGGACCTTGTTAACAAGTGATCTTGCACAACAATTATTAGTTATTGTCAAAATTCACGTGCACAGATGAAACAGGTATAAAGGGAACACGAAACAAAAGAATTTATCTTTCAAAATCCCAAGCCAGTGGAATTTGCTTGGAGGTCACACCCATCTCTCACTAATACAGCAAGGATAAGACAAAAAGATTACATTCTGCACTCCTCATTCCTTACCTTGCAAACATGCGGAGATCTTCTGGATTCTGGGCAGCAGGGACGTTAAGGATAGCCTCCCGCTCATGTTCCAACAAACTTGCCAGTAGATTCTCTGTCATCCTTTTATTTAGTGGCGAGTCCCCACCAGGTATCAACTCAGCACTGGAATTATCCATGCTAGGGCTTGTCAGAGTCATGTCATCACTACTAGCTATCAGGGGAAGAGAGAAGACACACAGAATAGTTATATTCCTCATGATGTAAAGATTATCGATTCAGATTGTTTCTACGCAGTCGTTCCAAACAACCTCTTTTCTCAATGGGAAAGTCAAATGTTTCAACAAAGTCATCAATTTATGTGGAAAAACGTACTTCTGGAGACTATAAACAGTCTATAAAAAACATCTGAAAAGAAAATTCCCAGCCAGCTCTGCTGGAATAGAGTGAAGTGGTAACATGAAAAGCCTATCAGCACAGAAGGTGGGAGCAAGCAGAAAGAAAGGCCAAGAAGCAATATCCTCCCATAAGTGAGCCAGGATAAGCAGATCGCAGACTTATCTGATTCATGTTCCAAGATTTCTGCCCTATCTCATGACTTCTGTAAAGCAACAGCTGTACAGGGAATATCTCTTGATATCTAACCGCAGTGTTGCTTGACATTCTGGGAATCCTGCTCACAACAACAGAGGCATGAAAGTTTGGGGATTTCAGCACTGTGTCTGATCTACACTCTTGTAAAAATGCTTTCCCAGCATCACCCTGAACAATGGCAATGAGGAGATTAAAGAACTCGATGAAGAGAATGAGAAATCAGCCATTTCTGAGAACAATACCTAGCTCTGCATTTCCTTAAATGGCTTTACAGCCCATAGAAACCAATGCTGTTTTAAAACGAACTCTCAGAAGTTATTTTTCCTGTCCTGATAATCAAAGTTCACTGCGTAACCGCGGTGCAGTCAGAGCACCATCTCCGTTACTCTTAAGTAGACCAAGGAAGTGGAAAGTTACTTGGAAAAAAAACTTAAACGTACCTCTGATAAAATGAAAATATTTCACATGACCAAGCGAGAATTAGGCAAATTACAAAGGGTTACTTTGTTTTTAAAACAAGAATTTAAGCTCTTACAGCCCTTCAGACTTTCACTAATGCCCAGCTCCAAGAGGGGCTGGCTGTAATTTGCAAACACACCAGCAAAGATGAGTTGTCTTGCTACAAAGGCCTGATTATTCTAGGTATGGTTAAGAGAAGATCTAAAAGCTGGCAATAGCCTGAATAGCAGAGAAAAGTACGCTCGTACTTGGAGAACCAAAGCTGAGAGCATTGGGGGTGCTTAGACTTCGGCCTCCAACTCTGGCAGTAAAGGGCATGTCTTCATCTTGGGCTCGGAAATCTTCTTCATTTGGTGGCACCATCAGACAGACATACGTGTGAAGCTGAATAAGGAGCCGATGTTGGAGCATCCATATCACCATCTGAATGAGCTGAGTCTGCAGAGCAGGAGGTGAAATATTAAACATACACAAAGTAAAACACAGTTCAAATACAGGAGGAAAACAACGCACAAGGTCTAAGAAATTGCAAAGAATATTTTATAGGGGAGAACTGCTTTCAACACCACACCACAGTTTTGCCTCTACTCTGTCTGGTCGGCATACATTTCCAAACACAGAAAGGTGACCAGACACACACCAGACTCAAAGCATTTATGGATACTTAGGCTGTAAATCGATCCTTTAATGGTTTACATGTCATTATGCAACCCTGACAAACACAGCCAGTGTCTTCAAATGAACCAACCCCCGCCCCCTGCCATAGCTCCAGCACCTGGTATGGTCTAGCCGTGCAGCCGAATGGGTCTCCCTGGACACACAATGCTTTAGCCATGAAAACCCACACACTGAGCTGTTTGGTCCTTTTTTAACACAAAAGTTTAGGAGGTGCTAAAAAATGGGACAGCCTTTCTTCTGAGGGACAGGACATGGAAAACAAGTCAATCAAATGCAGGCTCTGCTTGCCTTGGCCCAAGTGAGAGAGCCCTGACATCAGTCAGTTGGTTTCTACACAAGGCCCACTAAAAGCAGTAATCCCCAAAATGGTGATTAATTTCAGAGTGGCCCAGATTAAAGCTCGGGTTACCCTAGAAAGCCTTTGGAGAGGACAGGGCGACTGGGCACGGCTGAAGCAACAAAGAGTAGGAGCCGTTTGCTGTCAGATGGGAAACTGCTGCAAAGCTATGGGAGAGACTAGAGATCAGAGCCCTGCTGGGACTCAGCAATGCTGAACTAATACCAACAGCAGCAGAAAACTGGGCACAGGACAGCAGCCTGCCGCTGCCACAGAGTCCCCTCTCCATGCAAAGGGTTAACATTTCCCATTGGCTCACTATCCCTCTGCAATAAGAGGCCAGGCCAAGCATTTAAAGGCAGCTAGGTTCCCAGGGTGCTGATAGGGAAGAGTTTCAAAGGTGCCGAGAGATGACACTCATGCTAAACAAACATGCAAAACATCTTCTTTGTATTACAGCAGCTGAAGGACTCCATAACGCCCCAAACTCAATGCTGAAAGCAGCGGCGAGAATGAGGGAGAACCGTTTGTAGGTTCTCGTCATGGCCTGCTGTCAGGAGTTTTGGAGGAGCATTCAAAATGTATCATCCTGTCTCAACTTCTACACAAAAAGCCTTTTCATTTCCAAGCCACTGTAGGCAACCCTTCCCATAGCTAGCAGCTCTGAAAACACTGATTCACTGACAAAAGCTGTTTGGGGATTTCATAGCAACCAGCACTGTTTTGGTGAGAGAAACACATGCAGAATGAGCTCAGAATCTGAGAAGGAAGCTAGCTCTGCTGCATTAATCATCAGGATAATGGGCCAAATCTCAATAAAAGCCCCAAACTGAAGTTCATCAATCCTCTTCTACAAACCATACAGCTTACAGTGACTTTCAAATCACACAAGAAATATCTTTTGTTTGCTGACAGTCTTTTCAGGGATTCCCATCTCTTGCGGCTGAATGGGTTTTAATCTTAAAACATATTATCTGGGATCACCTTCAAATATATGTTTTTCAGAAAAGGTATAATTAATTTTTTATAGTAAAAAGAAAATCTACGAAAGAGGAAGGCTGGCAAAAGATACCAGGTGCATTTATACATTATTTTGCTAACATCTGAAATCAGCCTGTAAGAAATAGGAAGCTTATTCCAGTGCTTATGTTGATAAAAACCTTCCTTCCAGATGCAGGCCTGGATGGAAAGATGTCTCATGTGTTTTAGTTAAACTTCCAACCTGCTGGCATGCAGCAGCGTCCGATTAGCTAGTTTCATGTCATTTGAAAACTTGAGGTCTGCACATTTCCCAACACAAAACATCCTCAAAAAATCCAAGGCAATTCAAGGAGACTGCACACTTCAGGAGACTGATTTCACAGTAAGATAGGCTCTACCAGACCGGCAGACTCTGCTATGTACCTGGCCTAGATCAAACTCCACCGGTCACTTTGATGGCTTCATGAATTACAAAAATAGCCAGTTGTTTTTGTTACAGCTCTGTGTGCATGGAAAGTCTTATCCAACACTGTCCCAGTTCTGCATACAGATGTTCACCTCTACCCTCTTGCACAAATATCTAGAAAGCCATTCCTCAGACAGCAGCTATGGCTCAGTGAAAAATAAGAAGCCAGACAAAAGTGGTGTTACAGTTTCACAACTGCAATGTGCTTTCCTGAAGGAATGACTGCCAAGCACCTTTGGACTGAAAGTGGGAGAGTGGGAGACCAGTTGTGACTAACTCTAAAACTAGTTCGTCCATGTCAGACATGAATGCCACAACAGAGTATTTAAGTGAGCCTGAACTCCTGCCTCCAGATAAGAGAGAAGGATTAAAATTAAAGGTTACCTACAATAAACTTGACTTTAGTGTGAATTCAGGACCTCTAAAAATCTAGTCCTAGAAAAAAACCCAAGCAATTGCAGCATCCTATGACTGGCAACAGGCCTGTAGCTGTATCATGCCATCATTGCAACCTCACACCATTTCCACTTTGTCCTACCCACACAAATACATTTTTTCCAAGTTTAAACCTATTTCATACCAAAAGTAGCAAGTGTTTTCACAGATGAGGCCAAACAGAGGCTTTGCTAATAGGTTCTGCTGCCTATTCTGGACAGAGCAGTGAATTTATGTTCGTTCTCCATCTGCTCCTCTTGAACTTTGATGGAGTTTTCAGATAGGACTAGAGGAGGGAAGGCTTCCCTGCACCATCTGTGCTCTTCTGTCTGTCCAAAATGCTATTCCTCCCTCACAGATACAGAGTTGCCGTCTTCATGCCTGGTCTCAGTCTCCTTGAGTAGCTGGGCTCCTTCCTGAAGCCAAAAAGGGCTGGGAGTAGCTTCCCAGGAAAGGGTATGCTTCGTCCCAAGACTGCCTCCGCTCACTGTCGTCATCTGGTAGGGGAGGAAGCCACTGCCGGCCTTTTTTGGCTGAAACACCAGGACCAGGACGGAATTACAAAAGGAAAGGTTTTTCATTGCTTAACCTAGTTAACGATCAATTCTAAATTTCACCCATATTCCCATCATCCTTCCCCCATGCTGCCTCTTTCTAGTCGGCTCTGCTGATGGCTCTTACCCGCAGCAGCGTCTGGATCACTCCCACTAGCACAGATCAGCCCACACCACCCCCCTTCTTCTCCCCCCATCACTGCACAGCAGGTCCCAGGCAAAGTTATAGCATGTCATCATGCAAGACTGTATGGAAGTCACTGCTAACAATACATTGCTTTGTGTTTATTGACAAAAGCAGAGGACATGTATTAGCTTCTGAAAACATGGCCTTTATACGTCAGCCCATCTGGGCAGTTTGAGACAGTCAGAGGACAGCTCAGCCCTGAGTCCTGGGGAGACAAGATCTGACATTCATTATTGTCTTCCCTCTTGGCTCAAAGAGAGTATTTGTAAAAATCTTGAGTAACATGTTAAATAAAATGCATTTCTTGCCAGGATTCTTGAAGGCTGTTTCCTCTTTAGGCCCAAAAAGCAAAGGAAAACGCCAAGATTAACTGGACCTAGCAACAGGTTCAGGGCAGGGAGGAGAAAACAACAACAGAGCAGCACTCAATCCTAGCTTGGTGTTTCTCACCACACAAGGATACACCTCTAGTAAAAATACAATATGCTTGGCATACTGAGGTACACAGTCCCCCTTTCTCCAGTTTGGATTCTCTAGTTAATCTGACACATTAAATCCTCACGATCAGGCTTGAGATGTCAGTGCTGCGTTGGGTCAGTAAAAGGGGATCTTCATAGTTGCTGCGATCAATGGATGTTTGCCCAAATATATCAAATTCTCCTACCATTCAGCACACCATCTTTTACGAAAAACAAATAAGCTATTAAAACTGCTCCCTATTTTGCATGTAAAGTCTTTGAAGACCCCTTTTAATGTAGGATAAAACATGTATTGTTCTATAATATCACTGTTTTAATCATTATGTGATAGCTTTGAATTCTCACTTTGCTGAAGAGGATTTAACCGTTCCCTCCATTTAGGCCTTTAAAGCTGTATTTTTTAAACTGTCACACAGGAGAACCCTAATTTCATACCTAATCTAATTGAGATATCTAATAAATGCACCTAAGTACTACTTCCCTACTTCTGCCAACAAAAGCTCCCGTGACTCCTAATGTCTTGCAGATGTCCAGCAGAACAGTCCCATTTGTAGCGCATCTCTCAAAAAACCACAATGGTCTATTCAGTATTTGCATGCAGCTCTCCTCCTACTCCCATCCCCTGACATACACGCTCATTTTCCACTGCACTATTGTACAGAGCAGGGCAAGCTTCCCTCGTGTGTAAGGCAGAGGCCTCATCTACTGGTTGCCTTAATCCCAACAGGATGGCCAGACTTATTAAAACAAAGCTGAAAAACTAAACGTGTTTTGTTCAGGGAGAGCTGTCATAACTTCCCGTCTGTTTTTTTTTTTTTTTTCCACAGTTATTCTAGCCTCATCAAGGGAAGAACTAGATAGCTAGAATAATAATAGCAATCCACGTTATTATAAGGAGCTACTGTAGTGAAGGGGATGCAGGGAGGAAACAGGGTATCTCATTCACATAGACACTCTCCCTCTACCCTTACAGCTGAAAGATCCCCTCTGTTAGTCCATGTTTGCTCCTCAAGGCGGGATAGAGAGATCGCATATCTTCTTCTGAAAGAGATAAACTAACGGAGGTCATAGTGTATAGCAGAAGGGAACCCACAAGGGTTATCCCTGTCCCTTCGTTTGCAAAGAGATTTAGCACAGGAGTAGCTGGGTAAAGAAACTTTGATATTTTAAGAATGTCTTGCACTGAGAAACGTGTTAAAGCATTGCTATGTAGCAACTGCGGTTTCTCTAACACGTGCCTGGTATACATATTCTTTCGATGAACGTGCATTGAGCTCAAGATTTTAAGCCAGCAGTATACAAACAAACACACCCCGTGTTT